CTTGGCAGTGCTTGGCATAGCTTGGCGCTGATTGGTGTGTATTGTTGGGTTGGCATTACTTGGAATTGCTCGGCATTGCTTGACACTGGCTGCGCGCGCATTGACTTTGCATTGCTTGGGCACTTTTGCTTGGCATTGCATGGGCACGTTGCTTGACATTGTTTTGCACTGCTTGACGTTGCTTTGCGCTGCACAGGCAACTGTGCTTGGCATTGCTTTGTATTGCTTGACATTGCGTTGGCAGAATTGCTTGGGATTGCGAGGAACTGCTTAACATGGTTGTGCGTTGCTTTGCGTTGCACGGGCGGCTTTGCTTGGCATCGCGTTGCATTGCGTTGCATCGCTTTGCACTGCACGGGCAACTTTGCTTATACTTACTTCGCATTACACATGCAAGCACGGACATCCCCGAGCAACGCTGGGATCCCATTAGAATCCAATTGGTATACAAGTTGGATGCAGTTGGTTTCCCGTGAGAACTCTATTCAGATTCTGGTGGAATCCGTTTGGACCCCGATTGGGGCCCTAGTAGAATTCGATGAGTCATACTGGAACCCAACTGGCATGCTATTGGGTTCCCCTTCGGATCCAATTGGGGTCCTACTGGTGACCTATGTGGATCCGAAGGAGAAATCCTAAGGGATCCCATGGAGCCCTTAGTAACTCCAGCCAAATCATTTGGAATACGAGCGAAGATCCGATGGACTTAAGGAGTCCTGAAGATATCCATACGAGTCCGAAGGGATCCGAATGAACAGTCCTGCAATACACAGGACTCCTCATAGACAAAAAACAACATAAACATAAACTTTCGACGGTCCGCGCAGATTCCTCGGATCCGCGCTGGAGTCCCATAGCGGCGCCTCCGGCGCCGCCCCTGGCGCGCTCCGCGCGCCAGGGGCGGGGGTCTAGCGCAAATCCAAATTATCCTGGCGAAAGACCCAACCATAAGCAATTGTTGGTAACGCGTTGTGGGTGCCGCTTTCGGTGGGGCTCCATATGGGGCCACGAAGCGCTGCCTTGGATGGGGGAACCGCATGCGGACTGCGCCACCGGGGCGGGCCTTCGGTGGAGCTCCCTATGGGGCTACGAAACGCTGCCCTGGGTGGGGGAACCGCATGCGAACTGCGCCACTGGGGCCTTCGGTGGAGCTCCCTATGGTGCCACGAAACGCTGCCCTGGGTGGGGGAAGCGCATGCGAACTGCGCCACGGGGGCTTTCGGTGGAGCTCCCCATGGGGCCACGAAGCGCTGCCCTGGGTGGGGGAACCGCATGCGAGAGCAGCCACTGGGGCCTCCGGTGGAGCTCCCTATGGGGCCACGAAACGCTGCCCTGGGTGGGGGAACCGCATGCGAGAGCAGCCACTGGGGCCTTCGGTGGAGCTCCCTATGGGGCCACGAAGCGCTGCCCTGGGTGGGGGAACCGCATGCGAACACCCCCACTGGGGCCTTCGGTGGAGCTCCCTATGGGGCCACGAAACGCTGCCCTGGGTGGGGGAACCGCATGCGAACACCCCCACTGGGCCTTCGGTGGAGTGGGGGGGGCCTTCGGTGCGAGCTGGGGCCAGCTGGGGCCACGAAACGCTGCCCTGGGTGGGGGAACCGCATGCGAACACCCCCACTGGGGCCTTCGGTGGAGCTCCCTATGGGGCTACGAAACGCTGCCCTGGGTGGGGGAACCGCATGCGAACACCCCCACTGGGGCCTTCGGTGGAGCTCCCTATGGGGCTACGAAACGCTGCCCTGGGTGGGGGAACCGCATGCGAACACCCCCACTGGGGCCTTCGGTGGAGCTCCCTATGGGGCCACGAAACGCTGCCCTGGGTGGGGGAACCGCATGCGAACACCCCCACTGGGGCCTTCGGTGGAGCTCCCTATGGGGCTACGAAACGCTGCCCTGGGTGGGGGAACCGCATGCGAACACCCCCACTGGGGCCTTCGGTGGAGCTCCCTATGGGGCCACGAAACGCTGCCCTGGGTGGGGGAACCGCATGCGAACACCCCCACTGGGGCCTTCGGTGGAGCTCCCTATGGGGCCACGAAACGCTGCCCTGGGTGGGGGAACCGCATGCGAACACCCCCACTGGGGCCTTCGGTGGAGCTCCCTATGGGGCTACGAAACGCTGCCCTGGGTGGGGGAACCGCATGCGAACACCCCCACTGGGGCCTTCGGTGGAGCTCCCTATGGGGCCACGAAACGCTGCCCTGGGTGGGGGAACCGCATGCGAACACCCCCACTGGGGCCTTCGGTGGAGCTCCCTATGGGGCCACGAAACGCTGCCCTGGGTGGGGGAACCGCATGCGAACACCCCCACTGGGGCCTTCGGTGGAGCTCCCTATGGGGCCACGAAACGCTGCCCTGGGTGGGGGAACCGCATGCGAACACCCCCACTGGGGCCTTCGGTGGAGCTCCCTATGGGGCTACGAAACGCTGCCCTGGGTGGGGGAACCGCATGCGAACACCCCCACTGGGGCCTTCGGTGGAGCTCCCTATGGGGCCACGAAACGCTGCCCTGGGTGGGGGAACCGCATGCGAACACCCCCACTGGGGCCTTCGGTGGAGCTCCCTATGGGGCCACGAAACGCTGCCCTGGGTGGGGGAACCGCATGCGAACACCCCCACTGGGGCCTTCGGTGGAGCTCCCTATGGGGCTACGAAACGCTGCCCTGGGTGGGGGAACCGCATGCGAACACCCCCACTGGGGCCTTCGGTGGAGCTCCCTATGGGGCCACGAAACGCTGCCCTGGGTGGGGGAACCGCATGCGAACACCCCCACTGGGGCCTTCGGTGGAGCTCCCTATGGGGCTACGAAACGCTGCCCTGGGTGGGGGAACCGCATGCGAACACCCCCACTGGGGCCTTCGGTGGAGCTCCCTATGGGGCTACGAAACGCGTGAGAGGTGTGCCGAGAGCAGAGGCAAGGAGGGGGAGGAGGAGGAGGAGAGGAGAGGAACGCGGGGCACCGTCTCTTCAAAACGAGGACCCAACACCACAGGATGGTTGGGAAAAATTCGCGCGGACCGCCGAACGTTTATGTTTATGCAGTGTTTTTTCTCCCACCTCAGGAACCTTCCTCCGCTTACGCGCATCAGCTTTGCATTGCAAGCCCGATCAAGAAATTATGAGTATGCTGCCTTGGCATGGGGAAGCGCCCGCCCGCATCTTGCCCCGGGCAACACCGTGCGCTACCTTTTACCTTGGCACCAAAACAGAACTTTAGATAGATACTTATCGCACGTTGGCGCGGGAAAAAATCTGCATGGAATCCGGCCGGGGTCATGTCGGAACTGCTGGGGTCCTATTGGGATTCTATTGGGATCCCATTGAGATCCGGTCGGGGTCCTACTGGGATCCGATTGGGATCATGCTGGGATCCCATTGAAACTCCATAATCGTCCTATTGGGGTCCGGTTAAAATCCGATTGGAGTCCAATTTGAATCCTGCTGGAACCGATTGGCATCCTGTTGGAGTCTTGTTGGGATCCGATTGGGATCGTATGGGCATCCTACGTAGATCCCATTTATTGGAATTATTTTGGTAATTTCTTGAGGTCAAGTTTGAATCCTACTGGGATTTTCTTCAAATCCCATTGGAAGCCTACTGGGATCCGATTGGAGTCCTCTGTGATCCTGCTGGGATCCCAATGGGGAGGAGCAGGAGGAGGAAAAGGGGGATGAGGAGGAGGGGGAGGGAGAAGGGGTAGGGGGGGGGAGAAAGGGGGGGGGGAGGGGTACGGGAGGGGAGGGGGGGGGGATGATGAGGAGGAGAGAGGAGGAGAGAGAGGAGGAGGAGGAGGAGGAGGAGGAGGAAGATAATGAGGAGGAGGAGGAGGAGGAGGAGGAGGAGGAGGAGGAGGAGGAGGGGGGGGGCGCCAAGTGCCAGGGTATCACTTCCAGGGTGCTGGATGCGTTGTGTGCAGGCGCTGGGGGAGGGTCGGGGGGGAGCACAAGTCGTAAGTCGGGCGTGCCCCCCTACAGGCGGATTTTGGGCGAAAAAATAAAAACACCCCCAACAATACACCAAAATGCCAAAAGATAGTCCCAAACTAGTCCCGCGACTATTTTTGACTATTTTTGAATTTCCCCTGTAGAGGGACGTCTCGTCCCGCGTGCGGGAACGGGGGGGAAGGGATTCTAAATCGCTTCCTGGGGGTAGTTGCCCTCCTCCGAGTCTCACTTCTACTTCGGCCGATCTCAGCCGAACTTCTGCGCTGAAGTTCTGCCTGTGGAACCGCCGCCGCTTCACCTCCGCTGGCCTAATTACCGCCGAAGCCGAAGTGGGCCGACGGCGAGGCCCTTCCCAGACATTCTCTGGTGCGGCTTTCCTTCCGCGGCCCCGACCCCTTCCCTGGGGCTGGCTTTTCGGCTGCACGCAAGAGTGACCCTAGGTAAGAGTGACCTTTGGTGCGCGGCTTCTGGGGGGCCGCGGGGGACCAAACATGGGCGCGCAAGCCGCTGCTCCTGCTTCGTTTTCAGCCACCTGGGGACCCATCTGTGCCCGCACCAAAGGTCACTCCGGCGAAAGGTCACTCTTACGTCTGGTCGAGCTTTGCGCCCCGGATCAGCTTTCTTTGTCCCGGGCCCCGCCAGCGGCCCCCCACAGGCCGGAACAAGCAGTGAAGGGAGAAACGCTTCGATCGAGGCAAATCGCTGCAAACTGAAGGCAGAAACACCGGGGCAAGAATAGGGGAACAAAAAGTGGCATGAACATAAAAAACTCGGAGGTCCGCGCGAACTTTTGGGTCGGCGCTGGACCCCCCTCCCTGGCGCGCGGAGCGCGCCAGGGGCGGCGCCGGAGGCGCCGCCGGTGGGCCCCAGCGCCGATCCGAGAAATCCGCGCGGACCTCCGAGTTTCTATGTTTTTGCCACTTTTTTTGTTCCCCTACAGAGAGGAAGGAGACCGTCCCTCCTCCTCCTCCTCCTCCTCCTCCTCCTCCTCCTCCCCCTCCTCCTCCTCCTCCTCCCCCTCCTCCGAGGTCTTGCTTTCTGGACGCCGGCACCTCTTGGAGGACACCCTGCGCTGGAGCGCCGCGGCCACGCTCCACCGCGCCGCGGGGGCCGAGCCCTCTGGCTGCTGCAGGCAGTGGTCGACGAAGGAGGTGGTCTGCTCGGGGCTCAGGTCCTCCGAGCCGCAAAAATTGGAAGGGGCCCTGAGACACACAAATTAATACACACAGATCAAAAGGTCCCCCTATTTTCCCATACGTTCTGGAATTCTGTCCTCCCCCCCCCCCACTGCCCATGGTTTCCCATATTTCCCTGGGGAATCGACGATTCATTGTGTCTGTGTGTGTGTGTGTGTGTGTGTGTGTGTGTGTGTGTGTGTGGTGTGTGTGTGTGTGTGTGTGTGTGTGTGTGTGTGTGTGTGTGTGTGTGTGTGTGTTTTCACCTCCTGAAAAAAGCCCGTGCGCCCCCTCCTGAAAAAAGCGCGTGCACCCCCAAGCGCCGTAAGGAGATCGCGGCGTAAGGGCTTCTGGGTGCTTCTTCTGGCCTCTGGGAGGACCCTCACCCTCGGGCTCCAGGACTGGCAAGAAAAGCTGGGCCAAGAGAGTAGAAGACGAAAAAACGCCATAAACATAAACTGTTGGCGCTCCGCGCGGATTTCTTGGATCTGCACTGGACCCCCCTCCAGGGGCGGCGCCAGAGGCGCCGCCAGGCGGGCCTCAGCGCGGATCCAAGAAATCCGCGCGGAGCGCCACAACAATTTATGTTTATAGCGTTTTTCCTTCTTTGACATCGAGGGAAGGTGTCGGGACCTCTGGAGGCCCACGTCGTGAAAAGTCCACGACGCCGGGGATGTGTGGGTTTCTGGGCATGCAGAACGCCCGGTGCTTAATACGCCCTCCTGGCCACTGCCAACAGTGCCTAGACACCGCCCTGGGGCCCCTGGACAGCCCCGGCCAGGCACGGTTAATGTCGCACACGTTTATGGACTTGCTTGCTTGTTGTTTATCCACATGTATACATCGTGCACACATAAATAAACAGCGAAAGAGAGAGAGAGAGAGAGACAAAGAGAAAAACAGAGAGAGAGAGAGAGAAAGAGAGATATAAAGAGAGAGACACGCGTGTACGACTGCTGCGCCGCCCAAGGAACAAGGCACGGGCTCGAGTTTCGGAAGCCTGCGCAGGTGTCCTGGGTCGGCGCTGCCGTCCCCCCCCGCCCTCAGGGGCGGCCAAGAGGGGGACTTCCAGGAGGGGGGGGCGCAAATCGTGGCCGGCGGGGGGAGGGGCGGGGACGTAATGGAAGAAGAGGAGGCGCCATCAGATTTGGGGAGATATCGTGGGCCCTCCTCTTTGCCGCCCCCGACGCCCTCCTGGCTGGCTGGCTCTGCACGCCCGGGGCCGGGTCGGACGACAGGGGCGACCAGTACAAGGGGGGGGTGGCCTGCGAACAAGCTCGCGCAGCTGGTTTCCGCGGCGCCCGCCACCGCCGCAGGCGCCAGTGCAGCGAGGCGCGCGCCCGACGGGAAAGGAGGGAGGAGGGAGGAGGGAGGAGGGAGGAGGGAGGAGTGAACCCAGGGGCGCGGGGCAGACTTTGCAACTCCCCCGTGCCCAATCCTCCCCAAGTGTCAGGTCGGGCGTGTCTGTCCTCCTACAGGCGGGTTCTCTGGGCGGCAGTGCACACTTAGTCACACAATACGCAAACACACTCCGTAGCCATTTTGGCTCAAGCCGATCCCATTTGCGCGCTCTCGTTTTGGGCCCCGCGGGTGGCCGCAGAGATCGACTGCTTGGGGGATGGCTGCGGGCGGCGGCCGAGCTGCCTGTACGGCAGCCGAGCCGCCTCAGCACGGCGGGGCTGCGGCTTCGCTCTGGCCTGCGCGACGTGCCCGACGGGCCGCGGCGCGTGAGGCCGACCAGGGCAAGCTGCGGGCGGCGCTGGGGCGCGTCGCAGTCCTCGAGGCGGAACTCGCGGCTCTGCGGGTCGCCCACGAGGCGGCGGCGGCCCAGGCGCTGGCGCTGGCGGCCCAAGGCTCAGCCCAGCTTCCCAGCGAGGCGCTCCACCGCGAGGTCTCCGAGAGGCTGGCGCTGGCGGTCCCCGTCCTCCTGGAGGTGCTGGCAGGCCCGCAGCGTGCGGCGGCCGACACCTCTTCGGCCCCTCGGCCGCCTCCTGGGCCCTTGCGGCTTGCGGGAGCGGGCGAAGGAGAGCAGGGGAGCGGGCAGGCAGCAGCGGCCGCCAGCGCTCACCGAGTCGACGGCGCCCAGAGCATGCCCCTCAGCGGCGTGCTACAGGGTGCAGGCGACGGTGCTGGCACGGCCGCGGGCGAGCCTACCCAGGCTCAGGCAGGCGAACGGTGGGGCAGCGGCAGCCGTGCGGTGGCTGGTGTGGGTCCGCTGCACCGTTCTCGGCGCAACGCTGGGCTCCACTGCGCAGCAAGGAGGGCCGCTAGCATTTCGGTGATGCGGCAGTCCTCCCTCAATCGCCTGCAGAGGTCTGCGAAGGCGGGGCGGGTACACCTCGGAGGGCAAGCTCGGCACGGTCGCGTCCGCGGCGCTGGTGTTCGCGCACGGGCTGCTCTTCCTCTACCTCGCTCTGCTGGTGCAGCCTCCCATGTGCGGCAGCGGTCGGAGGAGCGTCGCCCCCCTCTCCGAGGCGGCGCTCCTGCCCCGCCGCGCCGCCAGCCAGAGGCGCGTGCCGCCTGCGAGGCGGCCCCGAGCGATTGGACGGTCGCTCGGGCCTACCGCGGGCGCAGCGCGCCGCCTGGCGCCATCTTCGCGCTGGCCGAGCGCGCGAGGCGGGCTCCCGAGGCGAGGCCGCTGCCCTTGGCCTCGGGCCCGCGCTGGTGGAAGTGGAGCGTCGAGGGCAGCGACGTAGTCGGCGTCGGCGGCGCCTCGCACGGCACCCACTTCGACAGCAAGGAGGCGCAGAAGGCTCCCGTGGCGGCGGCGCCCATGGGGCTCGACAAGCACAGGCCTGAGAGCAGCGGCGGCTTCGGCGAGCACCCTGCCCCTCGGCCTTCTGAAGGTGGTGCTGGTCATCCTCATCGCCTCCCTGATCCTGGTGCGGCGTGCAGCACTGCCTGCACCTCCTCTCCTGCTGCTTTCGCGGACCCCTCGATCGTCACGGCGTACTTGCTGGCCAACGAGGCTGCCGTCCTCAGCGGTGGCAGCGAGATGGACGCTGGCGACATCGACGGCGAGCTCAGCATGCAGGTGGACGGCTCCCGCAACCAGGACGGAAACAGTGCTCTGGCCTCGGATGCCGTGGCGCACGGCGGCTTCGACCTCTCCCCGCACTTCGGCACGGACGACGGCGTGGAGGCGGCTGGGCCCCAGCGCAACGGCGGCAGGAGCCTGGACGACGACGCCCTCCTCACTTCGCCTCCCTCGGGTTCCTGCTCCTGCTCTGGCGGCGGGGGGATCGATGTGGAGGACGGCGAGGGCGGCGTCGGTGGCGGCCGTACGCTCCACGGCTCGGAGACGGTGGCGCGCCAGGAGCCCGCGCGTGGGCCCAAGCGGCTCTTGGCGCTGCGCCGCCACGTCTTCGAGGGAACCGTGGCCCTCACGGTCGACCGTGACATTCGGAGGCCGGGCTGGCAGGGCGACGGCGGCGACGACGCTCCTCCAGCTCCCTCAGCCTCCGAGCTAGAAGCTGGGCGCCTCTGGCTCCGTGACACGTTCGGGCCTGGCTCCCCGTGGAGGGCGTGGGCCAGGCAGGAGCGGCAGCGGAGGCGCGAGGCGCAGCTCCAGCAGTAGGCGGCGGACACCGCTTTCTCTTTGCGAGCGTGGAGCCCCCAGTGAGGCGGGAACGGGCACCCGCCCCGCCTGCCCCAGGGAGGCGGTTTCGCCCAGGGCTCGAGGGAGCCCTGGGCTCCTTCGGCTTTGCCTGCGCTGCTGAAGCTCAGGAGCGAGGCAGGGCCGCCAGTGCGGCCAGGTCGCTGGACCCCAGGCCTGAAGTCGGCCTCAGCGCGGTGTGATGGTGCCGCGCTTCGGGGTCTGGTCCTGGCGGGCTGCGGGCTCGCGCAATCGCTGTTTGCGGGGCCGTAAGACGGCATCTGAATTTGTCTGTGCATGATAAGCCCCAGGGTGATAAGATAAAAAAAAATACGCAAACACAGTCATCAAAGACTATGTTTCACTATTTCTGAATTTTCCTCCTGTAGAGGGACGGCCTGGGGCGCGCAAACATGGATTAACGATCCATGGATTTGGCGCGCGGTCCCCCAATCCAACGGATCGGGGGAGGTGCCCTCCCTAAAGTGCGGCCAGTGCCGCCTCGTTCGGCGGCGGAAGTCCGCGATTTCCAGTGCAAGTGGGACCCGTCGCTAATCCAAGCCCCCTGATCCATGTTTGTGATCGCCCGAGACGGGCCCGATTTAGATGTAGCAGATTGTTGCAACTCCCCCGTTCCTAGACGTCGCTTATTTCTAATCGTGCTCATTTCTACTTCTGCTCGGATCTACCTGTTCCTGGCCCCCTAGTGGCAAGGAAGAGGCCCAAGATATAGAACAAGTAGAAATGCAAGGATCTTGGCCACCCAGAAAATCAAAGAACCTTCGAATATGTGTACAGAACAAGTAAACATGAAACACTTAGAAACGAACAACGTTCAAGGGGCCGAAGGACACACAAGTAAATAGACCGAAGTAACAGGATTCCCCATATCTCCCCATATGTTCTAAGCTTTTTGGTCTTCCCCCCCCCACTTCCCATATGTTCCCACACTTTCCTGGGAATCGACGATTCATTGTGTGTGGGTGTGTGTGAATGTGTATGTGTATGTGTGTGTGTGTGTGAATGTGAATGTGTGTGGGTGTGAATGTGCGTGTGCGTGTGCGTGTGCGTGTGCGTGTGCGTGTGCGTGTGCGTGTGCGTGTGCGTGTGCGTGTGCGTGTGCGTGTGCGTGTGCGTGTGCGTGTGCGTGTGCGTGTGCGTGTGCGTGTGAGTGTGTGTGTGTGTGTGTGTGTGTGTGTGTGTGCGTGCGTGCGTGCGTGCGTGCGTGCGTGCGTGCGTGCGTGTGTGTGTGTGTGTGTGTGTGTGTCTGTGTGTGTGTGTTTCCCCCTCCTGCAACTGGCCATCGCTCGGACGTCCAAATGATCAAGGATGCTCCTCGATGGCCCTCACCGAAGGAAAAAATGCACACGTCCGAGCGATGCCAAGGAAATGTGTAACCCTCCCAGGAGGTGATCCTCGCCGTCTGGCCCTCGGGTGCCGGCGCCCGGGCCTCGCGCGCGGGGCCCCCCGCGGGACGGCTCCCGGCCCCCCCCGGGGAAAGGCACGCCCTCGGGAGGGAGGAGGAGGAGGAGGAGGAGGAAGACAGAGGAGGATGAGGAGGAGGAGGAGGAGGACAGTGGAGGAGGACAGCGGAGGAGGACAGTGGAGGAGGAGGAGGAGAGGGGAGCGACGGGGGCAGAGCAGCCCTAAACCCTGAAAGGGGTACTTCTGGGCCGGGGGCGGGAGCGGGAGCGAAGAGGAGCCGACCACCCCCGACCTGGACAAGAGGAGGGGTCGAGCTGCTTCCGCCAGGAGGGTGGGGGCCCAGCGCCAGCTCAGCAGTCGGCGGCGCAGAAACCTCCCTGTAGCAAGCCACCCTTCTTGGTGCAAGCGGCCCGGGGCCGCAACCGACGGACCTGGACCCGCCGAAGTGACGGCAGCGACGCCCTCTCGCGAGCCGAAGCACGGCCCAATCGCGAATCGACGCGTCAGGGCAGGAGGCACGTTAAACTTCGATTTCCGATCGAAAACATAAGGAAAACCTGAGGCAAGCTGCGAAACACTTAAGGAACGCGGAGCCCCTCCCCAACCAAAAGGGTTCCTTCTTCAGGGCCCCGACTGTAGGAGGCCCAGCAATCGCGGATCGACGCGTCGGGGCAGGAGGCCCAGCAGCCGCCGAGACGACCCCGCGCCGACCGCCGAGGGGTGCTGTGCGCCCCGGCCGCGCTCCGCGCCAGCGGCTCCTCCACGTCCAGCATCCCGCCGCAGGCGCAGGCCGCGGACCTGGAGGGCGGGACGCCCCTAATGCGGGATGACGATTAATAAAACAGTGAGAACGGTTCAAAACATAGTTTTCTGCTATGTCTGCACAATTTTCTGACTGGAGGAGAACGATAAAAAAAATAAGGTTTTCCAGCCCGCGGCCGGTTTTTTCTAATCGTCATCCCGGGCGCCGCCGCGTGAACACGACCCCCGGTCATTTATTAGTCGCATCCTCCATTAAGAGGGGCGAGGGCTGGCGTGTGGGCAACCGTGGCATGCTTCGGTGGCAACTCGTCGACGAAAGTCCCCCGTCGGTCGATGTCGGCATCCGAGGCCTCTGGATCCAGTTTTTTTTTGTTATATATATATATATATTAAAAAAAAATGTATATAAACAAAAAAGAAAAAACAAACACACACACACACACACACCCAGGCACCTGGAGGTGGGATCCGAGATGGTAGAGGGCCGGCGGGTGGGCGACAATGGCACGCTTCGGTTGCAATCCCACCAGCCCTTTCGGGCGCAGGTGGTCCAGGGAGCTTCCTCTGCCAAGCCCCTTCTTCCCCTTCGGGGAGGGGCTCATCCCTCCCCCATGCCCCCTCCCCTGGACCTGGCCAGGGGGGAGGTCCGCGGGCAGCTGCAGCGTTCAGAACGGTTTTCCCTCGATTTCGGCATCCAAGGCCCGTGGATCCAGGACGGGAAAAAAAGAACGCACCAAGGGAAGGGGACGGGAGCTCTGGGGTTGAGAAACAATGGCACGCTTCGTTTGCCAATTTCGAACGCTTTCCCTCGACTTCGGCATCCAAGGCCCGTGGATCCAGGGAGGGCAAAAACAGAACACTTTGCAATTCGAATGTTCTCCCTCGATGTCGGCATCCGAGGCCCGTGGATCCAGGACGGACGACAAAAAGAGCACGCCCAGGGAGGGGCTCTCGGTTTCGGCATCCGAGGCCCGTGGATCCAGTAGGGACAGAGACAACGCGCCCAGAGAGGGGGCCGGGGAGCTCCGGGGGCGCGGGCTGCCGCGCACAGCTCGGCGGACGTCTCTGGGCTCGGCGAGGCCTCGCCGACGCGCCGC